ACATATACACAACACATAGACAGACACACATACGCACGTTTTTGAGACCAGGGACAATGGGAATGCACCCTATGGGAAGTCGACGAAATGCGAAGTGCTGGCTTGGAAGTATTTTAAGAGAGAGAGAGAGAGGAGGGGGAGGGGCAGAGAGAGAGAGAGAGAGAGGAGGGGGAGGGGGGGGGCAGAGAGAGAGAGAGAGAGAGGAGGGAGGAGGGGGGGGCAGAGAGAGAGAGAGAGAGAGAGAGAGAGAGAGAGAGAGAGAGAGAGAGAGAGAGAGAGAGAGAGAGAGAGAGAGAGAGAAAGAGAGAGTCAAAGTCAAAACAACTTATTCCATTAATTACAATGGTTCTTCTTTTTACATAGATAGTGACAGTGGTATGATGTCATTGACAATTTAAAAGATGCTCCTTTAATTTTTTTTTTTAAGTAATCTGGTTGGAGAAGTTTCTAATAGCTCGTGGTAGGTTGCTCCAGATTTCGGGTTTTGTTACCAGTTGTTTCTAGAGGCATTAATCAATGAGGATAGTCGCCCTTTATGAATTTATGAATGACCGTGCATACGTCAAATTGACATTTTTTTTTGAACTTTTATTTTTTTAAATGGGAGTTTATGCGGTCATGTTTATTTGCGGTGCCTATTGCCACTCTTGCGGCAAAGTTTTGTAGTTTTTGTATTTGAGTTTCGTTGGTTGAGCCCTATAAGTTGGACGGTAGTTTATAATGCTCAGTGTAAGGGTTTGTACAAAAATAATCCTCGTCTCAGAGGGGATTCTGTTTTTATGTGATCTAGGTATATCAGTGTGGCCATTGCTTTTTTGTAAGTGTTGTCCATATGTGTTTCGAAAGTCATGTATCTATGTAGAAGTACTCATAGATTTTTCACGGAAATGTTTGATTAAATATGATAGTCTTCAAATTCTATGATTGTGTTTTTCCTAAAGAGATGCATTGAGTTTTATTAGGATTTAGTTTGAGGCCGTTGTTGTCAAAATACATTTTTACGTCTTGCTTCTGTAAGATAAGTATTTCTTATCAATTCATAAAAAATGCTTACAGGGGCAGCGTGAAGAAACAGTCATCGGCAAATTAGACAAGGATATCGTTTCTTGTAATGGTTTTGTAATGGTAGTAAAGAAGAACGGGCCTAATATGGAGCCTTGTGGGACACCGAGAGAGACAGGTTTCTTATTTGACATATTATTACGAATTTTGACTGACTATTCTTGTGGGTAGATAGCTTCTGAACCTATAGTTGTCAATTCCATGATTTTTCATTTCGCTAAGCAAGATTTCAGGCTGACACTGTCAGATGCTTTTGACAGACCACACTGTGAGTAGATTTATTTGATTCTTGTCTATGTTATCATAAATTTTGTTTGTGATTTTTAATAAGGATTTTTCAATGGATAGCTTACTTCTAAACCCAAGCTGCGTTTCGGAGATAAGGTGGTTATGGGACGATAATAGTTCATCTGTTCTGTATCTCCTGATCTGAAAATGGGTGTTTGCAAAGTGATGGGTAGGTACCGGTGACTATAGATGTGTTTATAATGACAATTAAATAGAATGCAATTGCGGGTAAGCTTTCTTTGATGAATCGAAAAACAATGTTATCTACTCCTACAGAATTCACTCCACGTATTTTATTGTTGACTGTTGTTTCCACTACTATTAGCTGTGGTCAGAAAGCACTTATTGAGAGCCTTGTCCTGGTTGTGTTTGGTGGGGCCAAGGAAGCAGCTGTCTGTTCATAGGTGAGTACCGATATTTGCGAAATAGTCTTTAGATGTTCTATACTAAAGGAAGTGTCTGCGTGGTGTTTTTTGTTTGGTGGTAAGGTTTTAACTGTTTTCCATGTTTCTTTGGCGTCATGTTTACAGTAATTTACAGTCAGTGTTTTATTTTTGTTTACATTTCACTTTTGATCTTAATGATCCCAGCTAACTTTGTTTTAATTTGTTCAGGTCATTGTTTAAGTCACTCAAGATGAAAAGAGGTTTTCTTTTCATTGACATGTCTTTAAAAAATATATTCGAGGGAGTCAAATGATTCAGCTGCATCATAACGGTGTCTATGGATTGTACCAATAAAGGAGGGATACATACTACTTTGTCCAGTTACCCAAATGTCCTCTACAGCTGTATCATATTCAGTTGTAGTGGTGATTTCATTTGATTTCAGGGTGTCACTGTATATGCATACTTCACCTCGTCCTGCATCACATCTATAAACACTGAAATTTTGAATGCTAATGAAATTCCTTGACATTTCTTCATGAAGCCATGTTCCAACAATGCAAAGGATGTAGATATTTCTCTCCGTGATCATCAATTTCTTCAAAATGACCAAGGAGAGATTGCGCATTGATATGTTCTATTTTAATTGCAAAGCATGATGTGACCTTTGGTCTTGCTGACTGTGTGACGGTGTCAAACAAACTGGTCATTTTTGTACTTGTTTTTGTTCTAAAATATCTTTACATTTTGAGGGAAAACATCTG